CCGCGGCCGCTGGGAGTAAGTTGTTCCACATGTAAATTGAAGGTGTGCGCGGTGCTTCGCGCCGCGGATTATACTAATCTAACTCTAGAACGGTAAGTTGAACCTCAGGTAAGTTGAGGTAGACGACCTCCTAACCACAACGTCAACTTTTCGGGAAATTCAAGAAACTTGCAGTTTGATAATCGGGGTTTTCCGCAATAAGTTAAACGATGATGCAGATTAGGAAAATCTATAGATAAAAATTAACAACACTTCTAATACAGTAAAATATAAATGCATTTGGCATTTATTAAAGTGGCATACATGCGTACACCAATCTGTCAGATAATCCACTCGTCCCTCCATATTGCCATTGGAGCTCTCTCTCGAGCCTCCACCGCGAGGCGGCTAGGATATAGGCCGAAGGACATTACCAGAAAGACAGGGGACACTAGGAAGGCCTTTTCTGCCTTATTAGGCGTCATCGGCTAGTGAACCCAACCCCAGTGTGGTCGCTGAAATTGCTGCCACGCCGAGATTTGAACTCGCGATCTCTCCAGTCAGGGCGAACGTCCTTAAAGTTGATTTACGAGCTCACGGTCTAGCTGGTATTAGATCGGGAATATACAGTGGCACATATGCGTACACCGATCTGTTGGAGGACCTACTCGTCCCTCCATATTAAAGTATATTCCACTATGTGTCCTAATTCCCGACCCATAAAACCCTATGATCACCGATTTCGTAGGAAAACATGCAGGGAGTGAGCCTACATGAGCTGCTGTTGCCGGATAATGTTCCCTCAGTAACGAACGTCTGGCCTTTACAACGTAGCTCAACAAAGCTAGATAATGTTTGTGATCTATTTGTTCAAACGCTGGTCTGGGCGCGAATATTACCTTTTTCACTCGCCTTAAATATCGTAAGGACGCTGTTAGCCAGACGGTCATTATAAACCGGGGTCCCTCTTTCCCCTTAAGAACGTGTTCAAAAGATTACTCATCGTAGCTGGTGCTTCTGGTAAGACATTTTAGTACCATTGACTTCAGAAGATAAATTGGCGAACATAAGTTTGTTTTCGATAAATTCTTGCCAGGCCTTTGCATTTATGTGGTACCATTGACTTAATAACTTTAGGATTTCGCCGACACTGAGTAGATCAGCTGCAAAGTCGGTTAAGGCTGTATTACAGAGATTGCCTGTCTTTTTTAGAACAGATGGCTCTAAGAAAAGAAGCGAACCTGCCGTTTCCACCACTAGCGTTAACTTAATGGATGGATGTGCTTGGTTGACCCCTAGACTGGCTCCACCAGACCCTGCCCTCATAACCAGGCCTCTCTTATCAACCCCTCCTCTATTCTTCCGACTCCCTTGTGGGAAAAGACGAAAACGCTTTGAGTTGTACCCCGTTCCCACAGAAATGTACTGGTCCAACGAGAATATATCGCTAGCCTACGTACGCCCGCCAACTACTTTTCTATATCCCCTGATGGGAATTTTTGTAACTTTAAATAGACCAGAAAAAAATTCGTCGCTTCTCAATTTAGCGTTCTCAGAGCTGGATGGGTTATCGGAACTTGCCGCTTCTCTGCTTCTCAGCAGTATCCACGAGTCGGAAATACAATATCAACGCTCTCATGCTAGTTTCGGTCAGGTCATATGAATAAATGCGGATTCGCATGTAGTCCCCTAGCTCAAATGCGACTGTTGCAAAGCATGCTTTAGCATATCAATTCATAAGGCGGCTTTTTATGCGCGTTCAGCAGTGCATCTGCGTAATAAGTTAGATACTCAGTCTCAGTCGTATATCTTAGCATTCGCCATGATCACAGCGTCGAACGCTCGCCTGAAACTGCTACGCATTGGAAAAAATTAATGTGCAAGCTAGACGTCAAATAAAATATTATCAAATTCTCCCCCTAAGTAATTTCATCTGAACAGGAGGAATAAAAAGAGTGACGCCACCTTAAGTGGACATTCAGAGAGTTTTGCGTTTGGCAAAGCATCAGTCACCTGCTGCGTTAACTATCCACAAAAAAGTGCCTATTTAATGCGCTGAAACAGGCACGCTGCGCATACAATACTGATGCTTTTTATTTTATTTCCTTAAGAATACTTACCACTACCACCATAACTGCCGTTTTACAGGTTACATTGCACGAAGGCGGGGAGAGCTGTGGCCGTGTAAACAGGACAAGGACACAGGAACCCTCGCCAGCTAAAAAAAGCGAAGTGACCTTCGGATATATTTCAGGCAGGGTAAGTTTTCCGGTTTCTTGACCTTAAAACAAACCCAGACTGTTACTTAAATCCTATCCCTAGCTCTACCCTAAGCCAAAACGCGGCAGGAGTTTCCTTGGTAGTGCACGAATGTTCTTATTTATATTTACATGCCTACACAATTAATTTCTGTTAGGGTCAGGGTTAGGGTATGGGTTAGGTTTATGTTTAGGGTAAGGACTGGGGATAGGGGTAGGGTAAGGGTTAGGGTAAGTGTTAGGGTAAGGGTTAGGGTTAGGGTAAGGGTTAGGCTTATGGTTAGGGTAAGGGTTAGGTTTATGGTTAGCGTAAGGGCTGAGGTTAGGGTTAGGGTAAGGGCTAGGGTAAGTGTTAGGGTAAGGGTTATTGTTAGGGTAAGTGTTATTCTAAGGTTTAGGGTTAGGTTAAGGGTTAGGGTTATGGTTGGGTAAGGGTTGGGGTAAGGGTTAGGATAAGGTTGGGATAGTGATATCGCATGTAAAATGCCCCTAGTGTTGGAGTACGCATTTAAATATAAATGAGAACTGAAATAAGAACATATGTGCGCTACCAAGGAAACTCCTGCCCAAAACGCTATAGGAACTACGAGACCAAACCTTCACCCTTGATACAATCCTGACTCTAATACAAATTCTGACCCAAACTCAAATCCTCGCCTTAATTATAAATCTAATGTCTCTGGCATTCTGCAAAAGAGCCGCATGTATTGGGAGCAGTTCCGTTCTTCTATCCCGTAAAGTGACCATACATGCCATCCTTAGCTATTTCAAATACTGACATTTTTGGCTCCATACTGGAGCAGATGGTCCACTTGGCAATTCAATCGCACGCAGCTGTGCAAAACCTCGGTAAAAACAGAAACCAAGACACCCTGGTGCGCGTAAACGTAGGAGGTAAAGAAGTTGACCCTGTAAAGGCTAAAACAGGCCTTAAAGACGCCTTTTTGACTAGACTTCGTTTAGCAGGCGTCGCGGTGAATTCAGTCTACTAAAGCATGTCAGAACACACGAGTCTGGTCCCTCGTGTGCAGGACTATAAAGGCTGTCCTTAGCAAGAAGCGAGCAGACAATTGACCAGAAGAAAATGAACAGCTCTACCGAGAAGGCTATTGTGAAAAATGCTGACATGAGCGAGGAGATGACGCATAGTGCCATTAATGTCTGTCGGGATGCTCTATCACAGTACACACTTGAGAAGGATATTGCTGCGCACATTAAGAAGGCTTTCGACAAAGATCACGGCCCTACCTGGCACTGCATTGTTGGTCGAAACTTTGGCAGGTACGTTTTTGCTTTTTGATGCAGAAATCTGTGTCCGCTGTGTTTTTGCAGTACAGAGGTATCAGACTCCTCAGGGCAGAAATATAAGAGTGTTAGTTATGTTAGCAGATTCGCCACATAGTAGTATAGCCGGTTTCAGTTCCATCTTTGCGACAAGTCTGCGTTTTCCGTTATAGTGCTGGCCCCTGGGGGTTAAAGTTTTGGAATTATAAATAATATAAGCATACATTTTAGAACGTTCAACACTCAAAAAACAAACTTATTCCTTTTTAGGTCTTCGCCCAATACTTAGACGTTTTTTTTCTCATCCATTCCTCTAGCTACGTCACACACGAGTCCAACCACTTCATCTACTTCTACATGGGTCAGGTGGCTATCCTGCTCTTCAAATCCGGTTAGAAATCTAATCGCACTTCCCTAGATGTATTTATTATGTGTAAATCTGATAACAACAAGTAATAAATTTTCCAAACGACTTTGGTTTTTCTAAACTTGAGGGTACGGAAACAGTTTAGGATTTGTTTACGAATGTAGTTCCAAGTAACCAATGTCAGCGTCAACGTCTTCATCCTACTCTTTGACTTCGGTTAGAGCTCGAACTTCATTGGGACTCGAGTATGAACTTGAGTATGTACGGCATTAAGAGTAAGAAACCCAAGAGGCCTGAAGGAAAGTTAACTGTATTAGTTGACTTTTTGCATTGAATACTAAAGTCAGCAAACCGTATACGGTCGAAATTACAGAGAAATGTAGGTTCAGTTTAATTGAAAGAAGGGCAAAAATTCATTAAAAAATCCTTAAAATTGCCAACAGCCATCTTCTGCGTCGTATATTGAAACAACCAAAATTTAAGCCAGCATGAACTATTTCCAGAATTATGCTTGATTTGGTCTGCATAAATGTCAGAAAAAATTTATGCGACAGAAGTGCAGATAGTATTGCATTAGGTATTATATATATTCGGTTTAACTTATTGTACTGAGCTTAAGATTTACACTTGATGTATAAATCACGCGTTCTTTAACTTGAACACATTTCTATGTGGATTACCAGTACAGACCATGTTTACATATTTTTTAGAAGTGGACTGTAACAATTCAGCTTTACGAATTAACAGAAGCATACGATTCTAAATTAAATAGTGTCGCCCCTGTGCACTTAAATTCTGCAAATAACTACGGACCTAAGGAAAAAGAATAACCTCCTTCTTCTTCAAGTTGCCTCATAGTTCTATACTGCACGAAACAGCATAAGCGTAAATATTCGATACTATTAAAAAGCAGATAATCAAGCAAACAAAAAGGCGTTTGTTGTTTTCATTCATTCACATGCTCTAAGTAGACAAATTTTGTAAAAGTATTCGTAATAGCCAATCATTTTCAGATAAATTTAACTTCTACATGCTTACTAAGAAGCAACTTTCCTGCCTTTTGGTTGCGATTCGCCTGTAATTTGGTATCAGAACTTAAGCTGAGTTAACCTTATTGAAATCATTTTAATAGTTAAGTAGACTTTCTTATAGCGTCTTTAGAACTAAAGCAATTAAGTTGTCGATAAACATAGGCAATAACGACGGCCCAAAATATTGAGATAAAAGGTTCGCAGCGAGTGAAGTCTCCGGTTGAAGTATGTGGACAGGAAAATGTTTCGTTTATTCTTTAGATATTTTTGAGACAATGGTGAAAATTCGAGCATATGCCAGCAATTACCCAAATGGAGAGGTTTTCGGAAAAAAAAGTCAATTAAAGAAGGTCCTTCGCTCGATCGAAACCATGTTTTTTCGGATTTTCGCCATACATTTTGGCTCTTTATAGCCATAAGACCTTGCATTAAGACGAGCCTAAAATTATAATATAGACCGTAAGTACAGCATTTAAATTTCGTTAGAAATTACACCAGTGTGTACACCAGTGTATTTAAGGTCTCTAAGTAAAGGCCGAAATTTTAAGTGGGCATTTGGGCTGAAACCTCTCAGCCAGTGCGTACTATACGCTTGCTGCCTAAAGAGCTTTTGTATACTGATTTATACTGCGAACAGAAATTAATTTCTAACAAAATTCAAAAGTTCAGTTTTCAAAACCGTTAGTTCAACCGGAAAGCCGACAGGGAAAGCTAGGGGACCCACTGATGAGTGGGACACCTTGCAGCCGTGTCAAGCAGCAGCAGCAGAATACCGGAAAAACACGCGTTTGGACCTTTTATCTAGTACCTGGGCTGTTGGTATGTTAATCTAAAACATCTGTAGACCGTAATCTGAGGAAAATGGTATGTTCTAAATAATATCAAAGAGGAAACGAGTATTCATCAGGGACCCATTTCAAAAGGACGGACCAAGCGAACTTCTAAGCAGGCGCCTGAGTCAAGCTGTAACAACCACTTTCTCAGCAGCCAACGCCCATGCCCTGTTCTCGGCTATTCCCATCCTATACGGAGAAATCAAGGACAAACTGCCAGCCCAGACTACATATATGTGCATCTATTAATTAACCTGCACCTCTGGGGCAGGATATATTGGTCGCACGAGCCGGCGTTTGTCCAAAAGAGTACGA